TCATCCCGGAATTGGTTTTCACTAGATTGATGAGATATAAATTCAGAATGGTGGTGATAACTGATTCAAAACCACTTAACCAATAATCTTTTATTTTTATTTTTATTTTTTTATGGTTTAGAGGCTTGACTTGTGATTTCTTTTTTCCTTCTCTTTTTCTCAAACTAAGCTATATTAGCTTGTGTTTTCCCTTTTTTTCTTCTTTAAATGGAGTAGAATTTGCCATAAAGAGATAAACCTAGAACATGAAGATTAAGAACTGCAATTGAATTATGAAAGGTTTTTTCTATGTCATTTAATCAATTGAGCTATTCCAATTGAGCTATTCCAGCTACATAATCTACATGCGACCCATTAGATATTTGGATTTTAAACTTCATTTTAAATTTTCAATAAATATTCAAATATAAAACATAGAAGAAAAAAAGGAGACAAAAATCAAATATTAGAACTAGATTTGAGGATAAGCCCAGTTAATAATAAGTCCATAAGGACCATAACAGCTCCAGTGGGCGTTTCGAAGGCCCACTTATTTCCAAACAATACGAGAGAATGTCCACAACCGTAAATGTTTCCCTTTTTTTATTTACGGACATGGGCCTGAGGCCCTGACCAAACCAAAACCACCTCCTTGTACTGCATGTACTAACCTAATTCAAAGAAAAAACAATTTGTACTACAAATCCACGAGAAATAAAAATCTAAATGCCTTTTGTGTTTGATTCTGATTTTCCTTAAAATATCTAACTTAAATCTAATTATTTTGCATAGATCATGCATCAAATTTCAATAAGTAAATCCATAGTAATTTACGTCTCTGAACTGTATGAAAATGATTAATCATAAATTTTTTTTTTGCATTACATTGAAAAGATTGTGAGGTTTTATTAGACAATACATACCTTCATGGGATTTTAGTACTACATAGAGAAGCAGTTTGGTCGGTTTCTGGTCTTGATTACCACCTTAGCTACCGGTGGGATATTGTCAGAGTTACGAACTGCTTCCCACCTCCGGCGAACCGATGGCCTTGGGAGGTTCTCCGGCACGATGGTCTCCAGTGAGTTGAAACGCCATGGCGGGCACATTCTTTTGTCACTCCATCTGGTAATACCTTTCTTCTTTGATTCAAGTTCCACACCTTGCATCTCTTGAGCAACAGCAGTAGTGCTGATGTCCTCTGAATTATTTCCTAGTTGGAGTCCAATTACCACGCAAGCTGCAGCCATGCCAAATAGACATTGCCTTCTCCATTTTTCGTTGTTCCTTGACCTTAATTAAGGGAAAACAAGAACAAAAGTTACATTAAAAAGGAGAGAGAGGAAAAAAAGGGAATATATATATAGAAGTGAAAGAATAGGATTGATGAGCACATACCAAGAAACTTGTTGGGTTGGCTTAGAGGTGGAAGAAGAGGGTAGGGTTGGAGGGGAGACGTTGAGACAACAGCTGGTTGAAATCACCATGGCTAATTAATTTGGGTCTCCCTCCCCCTCTTTGATATTAACAGAGTACTACAATACATGAATTGAATTGAGTTTATATAGAGGGTGGGCGTAGGCTCGGGGTTTGAAAACGGTGTTTCTTTTTATTTTTTTGGTTACATGCTCAGCAC